CGAGTCACAAAGAGGCACCATTCTCACACTTCGTACGAGACAAACGCTACCTGCCCACGCGGGTCCCCAAGCCCCACGGCAGAGCAGGTCTACAAAGCAGCTTCTGGGCCACTGAACCGACTTTTCATGTTTGCGAATACACATGCAGCTAATAAACGTTAGCCCTCTCTGTGTGTTAGGTATTCTACTGACTTCTCTACCTCATGCTCGTGTTTTACACTGAAGTCCGTCTCTGGGAAACAACTGGTCGATTACCCCCACCGCGTGAAGTACCCGTAGGTTTCTCTAAGGTGTTCCTGTCAATCTGGCTGCGGTCAGTGATTCAGCACTTGGGTCTTCCCAGTAAGCACTCACTAGCTTCTATCCTCAGGGTATCATGCTTTGGCATCCCAGAAGTGCCATCCCAGAAGTGCCATCACATAATTTCCAGTCAAAATAGGATTCATCATTAAAAACCTGTGAACAGACGCCCCAGTTCTCCAGAAAAAAAAACAGATAGATACAGGTAAGCCCTCTGTAACAAGCACAGTATAGAAAAATGGAGCAGACCCATTCAGATGGCAAACCAAAACCAGCTCTCCCAGCATAGGAGCAAAGCTGCCACTTGGAAAAGATACCATATCAAAGCAACTGGCATTTTACCAGAAGGAACAGCGAGTATTCCTGCCAATTTGGTTCCCATTCATTCAGAAGTCACTCACAACACTGGCTAACAACGTAGATGTTTCCTGTGGGCACAAGTGTCTCTCAAAGACCACCGATCTCCTCCAGAAAAAAAAAAACAAGCTTACAGGTACATCAAGATCCTACAAATGTAATACCAACATGCAGAACAGCAAAAAGCTATTTTTTGGCTCTGTCTGAAGCCTCAGAGAGACAAACGCATCTTTCAGAAGCAAGAGACCCTGCCTCACCAGTTGGCTGCACACCAACTGCGTGTTTCATTGCACCCTCTTTATCCTACCACAAGGCAAAGGGGAACAGACGCTCACCGAGCGAGAGACGAGCTGCTGCAGCAGCTCCCAACAGGACCCCGCGGAGCTGCCAGGCACACTCAGCGACAGCAGAGCTGTTCCGGTAAAAGCACACGCGTGCTCCCACGAGGAGAGCCGTACGCCGCACGCCCAACTGCTCGAGAGAAGGCCAGCCCAGCTCCTGCACTGCCGCAGCGCTCCGCAGACAACAGACCAGCCACCCGTTGCCTCCAGAACCACAAGTTCCCTGACAGTCCAATTTTTCACTCACGGTATTTTCGGGTTTTTTTCTACATACTGATACGTACAATGTTCTGTTTGTGACAGGGAGGAAAAGAGCAAAATAGCTAAGATGCTTTAACCACGTGAATTCTTTCCACAGCAAATGACAGAAGCCACCGAAGCATGAATGATGCTCAAGCACATTCGCATGGTATTCTCAATTTAGGGTAAGAATTCGGATTTTAAAAATTACTATGGAAGTAACAGAAATTGTCAAGCTCAAGAAGTAAACAGCAGCAAAGAGGAGAGGAGCAGGAGCTTCTCAGAAGGCACCTTGGCCCAGGCCCGACATAACAATGCTCAAGTCCTCCTCCTGACGAGGAGTGGAACGCAGAGCACAAGAGCCCCAAACCTGCTTTATCTACAGGAATTGCAAGCTCTAGCTGTAAGAACAGCAGCTTCAGGGTGACAGCCCTTGCCCACCAACACCACTACGTGCTGCCTGAAGGCTGCCATCCCCAGCTGCTCTCACTGCTGGCCGCAGGACTCTGACATTGCGGGGTCCTGCACACTAAACCTCCCCAGCTGACCCCCCCTCCACGCTGCTACAGAGCGATGCTGAGGTGAAGTGTGGTCACCTGAGGCAAGCTGTGTCCATCTCCCAACAGAATTACGTCCGTTCCTTCTGAGGGTGCAGAGCAGGACTGGTCCGACCGATCCACACACTGCGCCACGGGGGAACCCTATTTTCCTACCAAACCAACGCCACAGAGGAAGAAGCGAGTGCGACGGTCCCGTTGCCAGAGCCATCCATCTCAACCTCGCTGCTTCCTCAGCCCAAAGCAGCAGGGGTGGACCTGCCCCTGTGGTTCATGTAAGCTCTGCCCACATCGCCCATCAAGAGCGGAACTCATTTCTTCTCCCGACTCAATGTTCACCACCAACCACTTACAGACTGGGACCCCTTTAAGGCTGGGACTTTCTTCGAGGAAGACGACCACCCTCTGTTACTCCAGTCTGTTCTCTACCACCAGAGAACCGAGACTACTGCTCCTGTCTCTCCTGGCACCGTAGGATAATACTGCTGCCAAGAAGAGGCTCAGTAGAGTTAGTCCACGTCTGCCAGGCAGTCACGTAACAGTACCTGCTGAAAAGCAGTGAGTGCCGTGTATGAAGGCTGGCCACCTGGAAAACTGCCTCGTTCAAGCACCCTGGAACAGTCATGAATGAGGAAATGAGAAAAACGGGAGCGCAGCTGACAATGGGAGCTTCTTTTAAAAGAGAAATAAACATAAACTGTATACCTGCTGCTACGAACACTGCTTCTGAGAGCTGCTTGGCCCTTTAAGGTGGTTTGAACTCCAAGAGTTCAGGCAGATTCCTTGGAAATCTATTACACGGCTGAGAATTTCTCTGAAGTATAAACACACACAAGAGACAGAAAAACACAGAATCTTGTTTATTTCAGGAATCACCACAAGCAAACACAGATTAGACAGACCCAGGTGGAAAAGGACAATGAAGTACCTGTCCAGTACACTCCGCTCAACCCCTGCTCTACCGCCTGCATCCACGCTTGGGATCTGTACGCGCCTGCGCATCTTCACGCTACAACGCCCCCCACCAGCTGCGCAGCTGGAAGAAGCACCCCCTGAATGCCTGGTCAAAAGGCAAGGTTTCTACTTGCAGATCAGGTTATTTTTCAGAAAAGGTCCTTCCCTGAGTCTATAAACACACTGAAGTATTTTGCCCCACGCACCACCTCAATCTGTGTGGGCCCAGCTGTGAACTCCGTAACCCCACAAGCCTTTGAGCACGACTATCTTTTACTACTCCTGAATCTCTTTAGCAACTGCTCTTTTCCACCCCCTAGAGAACACCTTTTTCCAAACAGGAACAGCAGTGCGAGCGAGTTATTTCCTCTGTCACTGCTAGCACGTGCAACCAAGGCACTGCCGACATCCAGAGCATGGGGCACGTCAAAGTTCTTTCACCACTCTACCAGAAATGTTCTACAGAGAATGGGCAGGGTTAAAACCTTCCAATACGCGCCGTTTTTCTAGCAACTCATGACCAAACTGTTTACATGACTGCGTATTTGGCCAGTAACATCTCTTCTGTTTAAACGAACAAGGAGATTCTATGACAAATCTCACACAGCACCAAATTCTACGCAAATCCAACATCTGAACACACCGAAAGTCTTATGTACATGAGCATAAGTGATCAATGTACCCCTGAAACAACTCCTTGTGATACACGTTCACTGCATTTGATAGAACTCCTCCCCGCTGGATCAGCACTGGGAAACAAGAACATGTAGGTGCTACCCATGGGTGCAGCACGCTCTGCACTACCCTTTATCCGTCACGGAACCCCAAATGACCCGCATCCCAGTTTTCAGCTCTCAGAGAAAGAAAACGACTGTTCCCAACAAGCTACAATACAGTGCTAAAATAAATCAATATCCACATGTTCCTCTTTCTCTTGATCACAAACAGGGAAGTCAGACACAAGGAAACAAATTTCTGCCTCCCAAAAGGGATCACCACCTTCCCTGACCATCACCTCACCTTAGTGACAAACCCTTCAGCTAACCCTTCTTCACTGAACGCAGCTATAGACACCACCACAACCACCAGCAAGCACAGCAAGGGAGCTTGTGTGTAATTTCGACGTCCACACCGGATTCCTCCAAACCACCAGCTCTTTCCACACTCGCTCTTAGCAGAAGGTAGCTCTCTCGCTCTTACCTGACACTGTCAGGCTCCAAAATGACCTTTGCCGATGTGAAACACTATCAAAACTCTCGATGTTCCCAACACAGCTTATGTCTTAGGTAAAACAAGTTTACTGCCAGTAAAAAGCTCATGAAATCCAAGGAGGACAAACGCTACCTCCTGCACCTGGGCCGGACTAACCTCCTGCGATGGTCCAGGACGAGGAGTAGCCTGTGGAGGAGGAACAAGGGGTCCCAGGGCCAGCTGGTAGAACACGAGCCAGCCCTCCCTGCTGCCAGGGTGCACTACCAACCAGGACCGTGCAGCGATGCCCCTCCGCTCAGCTCTCCTTACACCACACCGCGACACTGCATTGCTCCTGGAGCCAGCACAACGCTCTGGTCAACCGGAGCAAGCCCAGCAAAGGGCCACCAAGACTGCGGAGGGGCTGAGGAGACCGGACTCTCTAAATAACGCTCAGGGTTGCCACAGTACCTGTGATGCTGCGTGCTAAAAGCCTGTTAAGCAGTATCCAGTAACCATCTCCACAACTGATCCTTTCAGGACAAGACCTTGTAAGTGGCGCTAAGTTAAAGCCTCACGAATGCTGGTCCTGAACCTGCCAGAAGCGAGGGCAGAGCCCCAGGGATGAGGGCCTGGAGGGGGCCTGAACCCGCAAGACAAGAGCCAAAGCAAGGAGCAGCCTCCTCGGGCCACTGACTGCGGCTGCTCCTCCCTCCAGCTCGCCCTCCAAGGGAAAGCCCCGGCGTCTGTCGCTGGCAGACCCTTCGCACACACACAATGTCCCCCCAAAATCACTTCTCAGCTCTGTTCAAAAAGTAACCACCCTGATAAGGAACATTCACAGCAATTTCACCTCTGCCTCATTCAAACGTGAACACACGCAGGACGCAGATGGCTCTTCCTACGTGAGTTAGAAGAGAGTCCTGCGTGACAGCAGCACCCCAGGACTGCGCAGAACAGCTACGTGAGCTCAACTCTGGTCGATAGAACTTGCTGTCACTGAAGTCCCTGACAGAGAACATGCATCCCTCCTGCAGAAAGGACAAATTCGCTAACTCAGCTGTGGTTTTAAGAACGCAAAAAGACAGACAGGCAAGCAATCGCACATGAGTACATTATGGGATGGCAAAAAGGGCTAAAAATACTACTGAATGCACAGAAACCACACTGTAGTGGTTTTATGCTTATAAAGGGAACTAGTGAGACAGAAAGACATACTGCATCCACGTTGGGTGTTTATATTTAAAAGAACATCAGGAGTCTGGAAAGAGCGTGGGACAAACACAGAAGCGATGCAGAACAGTTCACCAGACCAAGAAATGGGGTAAACACCAAAACAAGCAGCCCCGCACGTCATTCTGAAGTACCGTCACCGAGGGCGAGGAGGTGACCGAGCACCAGAGCAGCCCGTACAACGGGTACGCCCAGGACCAGCGCCTCCCGCTCCAGTGACGACCCTGCCGCAGCACTGACACCAGAAGTGGCGGCACCAAACGTCTCCAACTACTTAAGTGTCTTTAGCAAGACACTAACGATTTAATCGGTTGAACAGGTGATTCCATTTCTAACACTAAAAGGTACCCACCAAGTTACTGAGAAATTTTGTTGGAACGACATTAATAGTTAACAACTCTGCTACAAGGGTTTTGCACTGCTGCCCACTGTCACCAGAAGCAGCCCACGTAAACAGTCCCCTGCACGTTACGAACACGACTTCCTGCGGCAGCAGTACGGGAGCTATGAACTACTGCAAACATCCCAAAGGGATGCAAGAACTACTTCAGGTCAAAGGAAAAGAAGAAATACAAGCAGTCTTGAGGTAACTTGTACTGGTCCTCATAAGCTTCACAGGGAATTGAACTACATATTCCAGGCTAAGAAAGTTTATCCCTTAAATACCCTAGTTGAACGTTATATCCCAAATCTACAGCTACATCCTGTGACACAGCTTCACAGCCAGCATTAAGAACGGTTAGTTGAACTTTCACAGTTAAAGGTATTTGAGGAGGACCTATGGCTACCGACATCTCTGCTGGAGCTGCCTGCTGCTGCCAGTTG